CATACCTCCTGCTCTGCTGTCACCCAACCAGCCCCCCCTACGCCTTCTCCTGCCTTTCCCACAACTGCCCGAGGTAGTGAGGTCCCACTCACTCCATCCAGTGGCTGTCTGCAATTTCTCCCCCAGGCAGAAGCTGCTAACCCCTTCCTGGTCCTGAGATAAAGCACAGCATCACAAGGGACACTAACACCATCAATCCTTCTTCTTGACCTAAGGCTGATCTCAAACCAAGCCTCCAGGATGGAAGGCTGGAAAGACCAACCCATTGCCACACTGCAAACTGGCCTAGGAAGGCAAGCATCCTCCCAGCCTGTGTAACTTGCAAAGAAAGAATTAAACCAGTGAGATAAAATTAAGCAATGGTATAATTTACTGCTCAGAATTTACTAATATGCAACCTAGGAAGAGCACCAAGGGCTATAAACATCTCAAGACACTTCACTGTGTTTTATCACTATATTAGAGAGTACTTGCCTTTTAACACTTACTTAAGAAAATAAAAAACTTCTGAGCAGTAGTTTCCTGTAAAGACATAAATTAACATGTTTTGATCAGCCACAGTAAGTGCAGTACAAGTGTCTTCATGCCAGAATATACAGACTAAAGCCTACACCTATGTTCAATGCATTTGCAGAATGATCCAAAACTGGAAGGAGGATTAACTGATGCTTTTGACATGAAGGTGGAGGTCCAAGCCACACATGTGGCTTCAGCTCCTTTCTCTGCCTCTGCCTGCTTGCACAACCATAGGCACATCACTTAACCTCATTGTATCTCAGTTCTGTAGCTATGAACACACAGTAAAAACGCTTCTTCCGTTGACAGGATTAATTCATGTTGTGCTTAAGAGCAGGCAAACGAGTTCCATACATGGAGGGAGGCAATTTGACATTTCAGAGGAGATAAACCACACTAAAGAGCTTACATTACAAGGGCTCAACCCTAACAGACACTGAGTACCCTTTTCCACTAAAACTGTCTCCTGCAGTCGGTAGCTCCCTCAGCCCTTCAGAGGCACGTTACCCTCACCACCCCATGCCACATCAATGCAATTTGCTTAATGAGTAGTGGCAGTTCCACCCTAGGTGCAGGATGAGGTCCAAGCACTAAAACAGACTATGCCAGGTATCTGAATCCATCCCTGAAGCTGTTAAACTTGGAGGATAGCTCCTTGCAACAGGCTAAAGGAATCCTCCTGATGAGCATGCGGAGGCCCGAGGACCGTGTGCCTAACGAGGCTGTATCCCCACTCATATTTTAGCTTGGCAGGTCTGGTGCTCCTTTCATCTTTTGCTTCAGGTAGCTCTCTTTAATTAATAACATTTCTGTGTCGACACAGGGAACTTTCCACCCAGAATGAATGGCCCTCTCTCATTAGAACCACGACTTGTCATGATGTATTCAAGAGCAGGAGTGTGATTCATTCCCTTGTCTAGGAACGAGGGGTGTTGCTGGGGGGTGGGGGGGAGAAGAGTCTCTGTAATGAGTGACTGATATTTGCTGAAGTTGATATGTGGCTCTGTCGGCTTGAACTGCCTTGTCAGGACAAGCCTTCAGAAAGGTGATGTTCCTACTCAAGAGGTTTTCCTCATTAAAGAAATTGCATCTTAACAAGAGGGAAGGGGAGGGCTGGCAGGAGAGCTGCTGTCTCCCTGACTCCAGCCTGGTTCACACACACACGCTGAGCGCTGAAAGCTGGTTGATCCACACACAGCCAGTAGAGGATCAGTGCTCCATTTCTGAGCCCTCTCATGCAACGGGCTCTCTCCAACAGTGTCCAAATCCTTTCAACAGGGCCAATCCTTCTGATGGTGCACCACACCCATAACAAAGACTTTGGTAGCATAGTTGAGGACCTCCACTCATGCTGAACCTCCATGAGCCCTTTCCAGATGTTTGGTGTCCTCTTCTGGGCACCCAGCTCCTTGTGACTACTGCTCCCTGTTGTCAGAGAGAAGCCAGACAAACAGCACTGTGATCTTCCAAGAAAGCTCCAAGGTTCAAGAGCAATCAAGTCTGTAGCCACACCGTGCCTCATTCCCGGAAGACCCCCAAGCCAAGCAGAGGCTTCACAGGTCCTTTAGCACCTGTTTCCATCTCGAACCTTGAAGAGTCAAGATTCTGACAAACCCCATCAGCAGAGAGCAGTACCTTGACAATCGCTATTCCTCTGGTACTCTTCTTTGAGCTAGGAGTGCTACACATGTCATAACTCCTGGCTTTGACAGGCCTATTTCCCCACCTTGTCCCCACATCCATCATTGACAGGCTTGTAGATTCCTCCTCTTTGCTCCAGGCACTCCTCTCATCTGGGTCGCTCATCCCACTGTGCCTCCCAGTGCTCTGGCACCTACTGGAAGCACTCACAGTAGACAGCCCTGTCCAGAAGATACCACACCTCAGCTCTTCAACAATACATGCAGAAAGAAGCCAAACTAAATGCCCAGGTCATTCCTGGAGAAGCCAGGAATACGGCTGCATGGTTTCCCACCAATAGCAGAGCTAAGGACAGCAGAGGACAGGAACTTCAAACCAAACAAGACACTGGGTAAGCGGATTGGAGCTTGCCTCGCTGTCAACACTAAGGAAGCTCAGAAAAGGAGCAGCAGAATTAGGGATGGACCTGCCCAAAGGTGCTGCTCCCTAAGGCAGGAAGCGCTGCACTCACCTCATTGTCCTGAATTCCTCTGCAATACAGTGGGTTTCTACAACGCAATGCTTCCACCAATGCTCCTCCAAATACGGACAAGCAGCACTGCCTCCCCTTCCACTGTCCCAGTGCCTTCTGTGTCCAGTGTGCAGTCTCGACACAGTAGCAAAGAGCACCAGCTACACCACAAGTCTTGTAGGGAATCATGGAGTGATTCCCTGGAAAACCTCCTAGAGGTTCCACATTTCTGAGGCTCTATCTCCCTGCCTGAACAGCCCTACTTCAGCTCTCTGCCTTCCCTCTTTAAAAAGAGATGCTCAGTTCTGCTTTGCTAAACCCTATTTGGCAATGTGTCTAAACACACGCAAACTTAATTAGTTCAGGAGGGAGACTCGGCATTTGTGGTGACGGATAAAAGTAATGGGAAATGAGGCTAGTGAGAGCTGGCAGGGAGTCCTCACTCAAGCCTCAGTCACTGGCACGGTGCTAATCAGATGTGACGCTACACGCTGCAGCACCCAATCGGCAACAGAGCGGCGTGATGGGCTACTCACCAAGCGGCTGCAGCCAGACTCCTGCTATCCACGTGGTTGGGAACACAAAATGTATTTTCTGCTTTGCCCTGGAGATGCTTCAGGATTGAATTTTGAAGTTAATGGTTTAAAAAATTTTTTTAAGAGGAAGAGGGAGAAATGAACCACTTGCTGCAATCTCATGGCCAGGAGTGGAGTCTTCTTTTTCCAGCTGACTAGTGAGGCACAACCCATGCGAGAGACCACTGCAAATGGCGAATTGAGCATCTCTGCTTCAGAGCTGCACGTCCTGCTGAGCCAGTTCACCCCACAACCCTTACAGCTCACCACAAATGGAGCTCACCTTTACCTCTATTTGCCCACTGTAGAGCTCTGAACCAAAAACTACAGTAACCAAACATCCAGAGGGTAGCCTGCTCCATACAGACACCAAGTTAGGATGCCATTGTCTGGGAACCTTGCTATCTCACTGACAAAGTGATGGAAAGATAACTCTGTTCTTCAGAGCCATCACCAAAAATGGTAAACTGGACTCTCAGAACAGCAATACAGGAGTAAAGAACTGAGGAAAAAGAACAGATGAGAAACAGCACACCCCTGCAGTTGTCTGTGATAGTCTCTAATAAAAGTTTAAACATGATATCTAAAGAAAAAATAAGCCTCACTCTTAAACCAGTAACACAGGAATTGGCAACATTTACAAGCTCTGGAGACAGCCCCAGCAGAGACCCAGATTTTGATTCAGTACCACACCCCTGTCTGGAGCACTGGAAATTTCTCATCTCCGCTAGTCTTTTGCTGCTGTTTCTGTGCTCATATCTCATGTCTCGCTAATCACACCAAGAAGAGACAAGGAGCTGCCACTCTACAAAGACCACTCTGCAGGCAAGAACTGGTGCTGATTGCTCCCAGGCTGTGTGCAGTTTATTTAGGTTTCTGACTTGGGAAAACCAATGTCACCATGAAAACCAAGTAACACTACTAACGAGTTGTAGATGTCACTTCAGCATTGGATGTGTCAAGCCCATGCTTTACTGGTATGATAACAACAGAAGTCTTTATCCAGCACTCTGAGGAAATGAAGAGCAAGATAAAGGAATCCAAGTGAATTCAGTACAATATGACAAACACCTTACAGATTAGACTAATTCCATTCTCAGTCATTTAACTCTGTTTTTTTAAATAACATTTTTAAGTTTGTGGTCCAGCTATTTTCATAACAAAATACACACATATACTGACACTTGCAGATCCCAGTGCAGGTCCCCACCTAGTACTCTCCAGATTTGTTGCCCAGCTGACGAAGATGACCTCACCAGGAAGAACACTGATGAAGCATGCCAAACTTGGCTTGTACTCTCTTTCCAAAGAGTATTCTGTGATTCACATCCAGTTAGAGTGCCAAGATGACAGAGAGAAAGCCTTGCATGCAGAGGTCAGGTAAGGACCATTGCTTGATTTGGGTTTACAGAAACACAGTCATGTATTCACTCAGAAATATACATCCCTTTGGAAAGTATATCAGATAAAAGGGTTAACATCACAAAGCTCCAGTTTAAGCCTTTCTTGGGGTTCTGAAAGGATTAATTTGCTTTAGGGAATATCCTAAGCAGTGATCTTGCACTATGCCCAGCACCCATCTGTCTTCTTAAACAACCCTCCACTTCAAATTATGCATGGCGAATGATGATTTCCCTAAGAAACAAAGACTAGGGACAGTCTGATGATTGTAAGGACAAAGACGTACACACTACAGCCAAGCATGGAGCAATAAAGCCCTAAAGCCCAGGAAAATCTCTCTCCCCTTCCATACTCACATCACTTTCAAATCCCAGTCTCCACAGGTCACAAAAATCGACTTGACGCTGGGATCTAAGAGGCCTTCCTTCGCCATCCACTCGTCAACCCTCTGAAAGGAAGGCAAGAAAAGGGGATGAGTTTTGCAGAGACAGGCCAAGCCACAACAGTTACACTTAGATAAGCTGCTTGCAATCAAGAGAGAAGAAAATTGTGATCTTATCCACCCTCTCCCTCTCTCTCTTCTCTCTTTGCTTGCCATCTCAACAACAGCACGTTTGGACCTTTGAAGATTTCTGATAGGAGACATCAGGCAACCAGAGCAGAGATGATCTTATCAGACAGCACAGCAGCTCTGCTTGTGGAGGGATGGAAGTTGTACAGCATTAACAGGACAACACAACAGCACTGTTACCTAGCATCCTCCTCCACTTTTCCTCTCCCTGTACCAAATGGGCACATTTGGTGAAGGGAAAATATGGGCATCCTGGGACAGCATCCCTCACCTACAGCATTTCTCACATGTTCCAATTCATTCGTCTCCAAGAGGATACGTGAGAGGGGGAGAAATGGAAGGGCTGTACACACACAGGCACTGTGTGGCACTAACAAGCAAAGCCACATGTCCTCTTCATCTCCAGGCTGGGTTTTTCTTGTTCAGGGGACAGCGTGGATTTAAAGTGAATCCACTATTCCTGAACAACTTCCCACAGGGACAGATGTTCTGGATCCACTTCAGAAATAGGCCATGTTAATCTGGAGTATGAACATCCACCTCGGGGATTAACCAGGAGGAACTAACCTAGATTAAAACCCCTGCACAGACACTTATTCCAGGTAAAACTAGCAAATGACATGCCCAAAATCTTCCAGTGACAGGCTATCAGCTGCTATTATGCAGCCTCACTAGTAGCATTTTCAGTGCTTCCGCAAGAGAAATCCCTCCTCTTTTCCCTCACGCGACACCTTCTGCTCCTGAATAAACCAGTATGCCCCAGAAGCTGCCTGACCCAAAACTCATTTTAACTCAGAAACATGCTACAGTATGAACACCTTTCCAGTGTTTCCACACTCCATGAAGCTTCTCTAGAAGCAGAACAAACTGTCTTCTGTAACACTACAGCAGTGATACACATTCATCCATGCAGGCAAAGAGGGGCTCTCCTTCCTGGGGAAGCAGACACAGGCATCCATATGCTTACAGACACATCACTGATATGTGCTCTCTGGAGAGCCCAGGGAGAGTTGCAGGTTTGCAGGGATGCAGGATGTCACCTTTGCAGAGCACCATCTTTGACATCATGTCACTGTTACAGCCTTTCTGGCAGAGAACAGTGCTTCATTCTGTGACTGACTGTACAAGAGCCTTCTGCAGTAAAGCTCCCCAAAGCAGCACCCAGCTGCTCATCCACACATCTCCCATCTCCTGGGCTGCCAGGATCCTCCAGCCATCCCTACAGGAGGCTCCCCAGAGCAAGGGACAGAAGCAGTATCCTTTCTAAACTCCCTGATGTGAGTGCTCATGAAATGCTGTCTCCATGGAGGATTTTAAAGCCTTTAATGTGATTTCCTCAGATAAGCAATTGTTGCAATTATTCTGATTAGGAACAATTAGGTAACACAGCAGTGGAAATCCTGACAGGGACAATGCATCGAACACCAACCTGCAGCCTAAGCAGGCTCTGCTTGAGGAGGTTTCCTTCACTATTTGACTACCAACAAAAGCTATTGATGGAGAAATACTTCCAAGCTAATTAAGCCCTAAATGCTGTAGGAATTCAGCATTAAGTAGATGGCATTATTAGGGCTATATCTGCATCTGCATATCCTCCAGATTAGATTTTAGAGGCATTTTCTTTCTATACTACATGTATTATTGAGCATTTAAATAGGTAGAAAAAAATTAATTTAATAAAGCATTGAGAGAGGGGAAGGAAAATGAAGGCAGAAGCTCCTGGAGCGGTGGTCTTGAGCAATGTCCTGGTGCTTTAAAACTGGCTCAAGCAAGAATCGCCTCTTCTCCTATCTACTGGCAGGACTTTGGATATCTTGTCAGCACCCTTGACATGAACAGCTGGAGATGACAGATCAATGGTTCAATACTCTCAGCAGAGTGTCACCAACGTGACAGCAAATGTTATTCTAATGAAGCTGTAATCATAGCCAAATTACGCGGTTCGATTCTCAGCAAGAGAAGGGTGCAGGGGAATAGATGAAGAGGGGACGACAGGACCAGAGGTCAGAGTTCGGGAACTAAAGGTTACTCTGCTTACCTCAAGCACTTGCTGGAGGCTTGGTTGCCCATCCACCATGCCTTGAATAATCCCGGTCAGCTGAAATGAGAGACAAATAGAAAGCAGGCATCAGAGAAGCACTCAAAAGATCATTAGGGAGGTCTCCTCTTCTGTCCATCTCACTGCAACCAAAACATGCTCCTGTGACCCACATGGACATTGCTGTGGAGCCAGTCACAGCAGAGTGACCCTGGCAGCTCCCCAGCCACAGGCAAGGGATAGCTGTGTTCTAAACACAGAGAGGTAGAGGGGCTACATAAACCAACAAGCTCTCAGCAGGGCAGGGTCCACTTGAGGAGCAGTGGTACCCTCTGCTTGATGCCCTAAATGTTGCCCTTGTTCAACATGCATTTCACTAGTTCTGATGTTGCCTTGATTTACACAGGTGGTGGTAACTCCCAGGGTCTCTGGTCATTCCCCTGCTCTTGAGATGACACCAAAATTGCAGCGTTAGATGAACAGAATACACCAGTATTGGTAAGTGAGACCCAGCCATGATTCCCTGTGCTGGGCAGCCAGCACGCACAGTTTCCCACAGTCCATCATAGCATCCTTCTGCATTTCAAAGCTGTATTTAAAACTGAATGAAATCTGAAGAAAACTGCTTTCTTCCAGAATGCTGATCTACTCTGACTTTTTAGGAACAGGTCCTGGCAACAGACAGTCCTACTGGCTGTACCCAGGCTGCTTAGCTGCTTAAAGCTAGACACAAGCATAAAAAGATGCAGTCTCATGGGCCTCTGCCTGCATCTGCCTAGGACAGCTTGAGGCACATGGAAAATAGATAATTTTTCTGCCTGCCTTCCAACTGACAAAACTGTCTTTTAACATATTGAATATTGGAGGTCAGTAGCTTGCCATCAATGCGCCCAAGTAATTAAAAAAATCATTATTAAAACAAGTGCACACTACAGGGTTTCACTTCATATGGCACTTTCCTGAAGCTACACATCTCACACGTTTTCATAAAATAAAGGTCAGACACAGCCTAGGAGCATGCCCTGCTGCCTGCACGTGCATCCCAGCCTCCAGAAGCCATAGCATCCAGTTGAAAGGTGCTGACAGCCCCACCACCACCACCCAGGAGTAACTCTTCCATGTAGACCAGTTCAACCTACTTGTAAAACATAAGCCCTCTCACAAACCACAGGGCTCTGGTTTATTAAATGTGTGGCACCTGAAAGAAGCTCAATGGTTTCTACCTCTGTTTCTTTGGCTTCTTGGCTTACAGCACTGAACTCAGAGGAAGGAAGGGAAAAAAAAAGAGATTAAACTCCAATTAAACTGTAATTACATTTAATGAATACCAAATACCTGACTCACTGAATAAGCTGTAAGTGGAAAGATTATTTTCTCATAGTGACTTCCACGGAATGGTAATATATACCTTTTAGGGAAAGTATTTTAATTTTAAGAATGCAGAGATCCTCTAGGTGGGTTTCTCAAGTTCATCAAGCCATTATGAGGTGGAATTTTAAGGAAGTGGAGGGATACAGACACTCTTTTATATTCCAGAAACTATTTTTATATTAACCTGTATTTTAACTGGGTAACAGCTGCTACCTACAGACTTGCTGTACTCTGAGAGGCAAAGAGATTTGAGTGATCAATGCACATCTGTTTAGAGCAGTTTTTAAAGCTCACTGGCTTGGTTTTGCTTTTCTCGCCATCACCTAGCAGAGGTGGACAGCTCACCTACTGCAAAGTACTGGTTCTGCCTCTCAGAGGGCATCTCAAATGAAACCTCTGGAAATAGCTGAAAGATGAGCTTTTGGGAAAGGATCATAGATAGTCTGGGTTGGAAGGGATCTTAAAGGTTAATGACAGAGGAACCTAAGGTTATCCACCCCAACCCACCCTGCAATAAGCAGGGACATCTTCAACTAGATCAAGTTGCTCAGAGCTCTATCCAAACCTCACCCTGAATGTTTTCGGAGAAGGGGAACCTACCATCTCCCTGGGCAACCTAGTCCAGTGTTTCACCACCCTCATAATAAAAAATTTAGTCTTATATTTAGTCTTACTGTACCATCTTTTATTTTAAAACCATTATCCTTTGTCCTGTCACAACAGGCCTGACTAAAAAGTCTGCTCTCATCTTTCTTATAAGCCCCCTTTAGGTACAGGAAGGCTGCTATCAGGTCTCTCCAGAGCCTTCTCCTCCAGGCTGAACAACCCCAACTCTCTCAACCTGTCTCCATAGGAGAGGTGCTCCAGCCCCCTGATCATTTTTGTGGCCTCCTCTGGACCTGCTCCAACAGGTCCATGTCTTTCCTGTACTAAAGATGACAGGCAACCTTTTGGTATCATGGTCAGCACCAATGTAAATGGCTTCTACCACTCTGTCACCTTCAAGACTGCATCTGTTCAGTGGTGCACCCCTGATGGCCATGGGAGGACAGGGTGAAATGGCCTCATCCAGACATTTCCCATCAGGAGAAGGGAGGGATGGGAAGACGGACAGAGAGGTCCTACCAAAGAGTCACTGCTTGATCCTGACCAAGACTCTTTCCCCACCAGGCCAAGTGAAGTACCAGCTTATCTGTACAAGAACACATTACTAAGCGCACTTGCACACAAGATTCATGCTGCACATGAAAACAAAGGGATATACCTGCTCCATGGGTACATTTCAGTATAGGTCAGAGTGCTCAAAAGGGACCAGATTTCTACTCTCTCACCCTTTCTGATCCTTTCCATTATCAGTTATGCCCATCTGTAACACCCAACCTAGTGCACTGGGTTTCTGCAGTATTATCTGGTCTTGCAGCTTTAATAAAGTATAAAAGCATAAAACTGCACAATTGTAAAGTTTCCCTGGCAATCCTAAGAAGCACACAGTACTTGGGAACATAAACAAGCTATAAGGCATTTATCTTTTTGTACTTTTATTGTCTGCTCCTTCAGGAAAAAAAAAATCAATAAAAATTAACCATAAAAAGAGAGCAAAGTACCATGAAAAAGCCTGTACAAGCACCTTCTGTGTAGAGGGAACCTTTCACTTAAGCTCCTGGCATGAACTTTCTTGGGCATCAGCCAAACCACTTGCATCTTCCAAAAGGGCATGATGAGCTTTATATACCTAACAACAGCTTTTAACCACTTGGAAGCACTTTCAACCTTCTCTGTCTAAACGTTCAGCACACCCCTCACGAAAACCAAGCCTCATGACTTCTTGTTTTACAAAAACAGGTCAAGAGAAAGAGGACCAAGTTAGGGCTACAGGGTGAGCCAGCAATAGAAGATGTGCTCCCGGCCATTGATGTGGGGAGTCACAGGAACATCCTATAGCCTGGGGAGAGCACACACACACGAAAAGCTAAGCAAAAGGACTCCTTGAGGGTGGCTATGAGCTCTCCATCCTTGCAGACACCCTTCCTGTGCCATGCTGTCTTCAGGGAGAAAGAGGGATGTGAGAAGTACTCCCAAGGAGTAACATCAAACAAACCCATAATCCTTCCCCCAAGTCTATACCAAGCAGTCCTGTTGCTTCACAGCAAAGGCAGCAAGCAGAGGGGAGAGGGGAAAGCAGCAGCACAGCAGACAGGCTCCTGTGTAATGTCAACACCTCTGCTTTTCCTGCAGAGTTTATCTGGGAAACCATCGTATTTCTACTCCAAGACAGTTTGCTGATTACCTAAGCACTTGTCTCTGGTGTACAATCTGATAATCAAGCCTGGTCTTTCTTTGTAGACAAAGAGGCCAATAAATCTCACCCTTTGTAAGTGGAGGTGCCTAGACAAAGCCCTTTACTGGCATTTAGCAAAATGGGTATTTTTCAGAAAAGAGAAACCAGCTGAAAAGTCAATGGCAGGTGCTGGAGCTGTGTGGGAATCAGCTCTGCAGGAGCTGGACACACGGCATGTCCTGGCTGTGTCCCCCAGAGTGTCAGTGGAACCTGCGCTGGTGGCACAGGACTGATCCCTGTGCCCGCTCAGCAAGAGCCACTGACCCCACAGGTCTCTACATAGCCACTAGACTCCACGAAAAAGCAGATGCAAATACAAAAGGATATTTTTGCAAATGTTTAGTAAGGTCCTTGATACAACCAGCTCACCTGTGGCTCTTGGGGCAGGGTTTCAAAGTCAGTGCTACATAAAGGGGCTCAGGACAAGCCCAGTTACTCCTCCAGCACAATCACACTCCCTGAACCTCACGGCAACAGGCAGGGGAACTACCAAGCCAGGAGGGACAGGCACTAAGGAGCACAGGCTGGTGGCTTCCAGGCTAGGATCAAAACCAGCTCCCTAGCTCACGCTGTTAATAACAACACAAAACTTGCCAAACCCGGCAAGTTGGACCATTTTGTACCACCACTACACACAGGTTGGGGTTCTGTGATCATTCTGTCTGCAGGCCTCAGCACTACCCATTTTTATCCAACTCTGGACACAAGACACCAGACCAAGGTCAGCAGCAGCATCTGCAACATAGCATTGCAGGTAAGACACCCATGTCCATCCTGGGGACTCCTGCAAATGCACACACACTTGGCTTCACTTGTTTAAGGGCTCCACACAAAAGACACAAACATGTGAAGACACAAACATCTGCTCCGGGCTCCTGTGAGCAAGAGAAGACAGAAAAACCAGCACTGCAGTATGAGAGCATTATAGAATCATAGAAACAACTAGGTTGGAAAAGACCGTCAAGAGCATGAAGTCCAATCTTTACCCTAGCACTGCCGAGCCCACCACTAAACCATGTCACTAAGGGTCTCATCTACATGGGTTTCTGAACTTCCAGGTACAGCAATTCCATCACTTCCCTGGGAAGCCTGTTAAGAAGCCCATTATCAGATGGGCTGAATGCCTCAGTCACTCTCAATGCCCTCAGGCTACAGCAGGCTGGAGGCCCCATTCAGCTCAGACAGCCACACCAAGCAAGTCATGCAGACTCTTCTGCAAGAAAAGAGCTGCAACTTTTGGCTGTGGGGGGGAAAAATGCAACAGAGGACTTTCCAGAAAAACAGAATTTTGGTGGGAGTTAATAAGTGAGATGACGTTTCTCTAGAATTTAGATGACATGCAAAATGGATGTTTTAAGCTCTGCTCTAAAAGATGACATTGCTTTTAGCCAAGATCAGGTGCAAGCTGTAAGATTTATCACATTTTGTACAAGCATATGTCCAGAAAGTCTCATGGGGATAAAAACACCCAAAGTAGTTGTCCAGCCTCCTAGCATTAAGGCTGCAAACCCCTTTCCATTATAACTGTTTTCACACATTTATAGCTTTCTGAAAGCCCCTCTCTGGGTAATAATGTTTTCTGTGCTTAGTCTTTTTTTTTTTTTTTAAGTTTAAATAAAATACCTTCAGATGGTTCTTAGTTACAAGAGGATAAAAAAGATTATTTGTTTTTACAATGTGGAAATATGGAAGGGGCTGGCTGGTCCTGAAGGGGACTCCACCTAACACAGAGGAGTCGTTTTTCATCAAGTTAATACGCATGGGACAAGCACTTCAAGGGCTTAAACTTGCAGCCATGGAGGTAGGCCAAAACCACACTGCAGTGTTGATGAGACTGGGACAGAATGAAGAATTTGGGTACTCCAATTCCCACAGTCAGTACTTTAGTCGCTGAACTGGCCAACATCAAACCAGTGGAATGACAGGAAAAATAGCTCAAAGGAAAAGGAACTTAAACTTTATTTTGACGGTTACAGCAAAGGAAGAATGCATTTGCAGAAACAGTTGACTTTTTGTGCTGAATGAAAAAAAAACCTGACCAAACCAAAAACAAGCCCACAAAAACCAACCCTTATTCCCCTATTCCTTTGAACCCTCAGAGATCGCACTCACCACCTTCATCAACTAACACAAGTGCTTTTATTTTGTGGTCACTCAGTTACACATTCATTAGTTGTAAATAAAACTATCTTAGTTAGCAGATCATAGCTAGAGTTATTTATGAATCCAAACTCAGGTCTTTACATGCTACTGCAATGACAAAAGATCATTTCCCTGGTCCTTAACTCAAGGCTGGCATGACACACTGCCTTGCAGCCACACCATGAAGGGGCAACCCCAACCCCTGGTGCAATGGAAACCTCCTTCCCAGGGAGACTCTTGGAGCACCAGGGAACCTTTGCACTTTACCTCTGTACAGAAGGGCGTAAGCTGGGGATGCACCACAGGCTGAACATACATGTGAAAGGTGGATTCGATCTCCATCGTCCTGCCATTCAGCTTCAGGATAGGGAATTCGATGATTTCCTGAATAAGGCAAAAAGAAAAGCAGCTGTTCATTTAAAACAAACAAAAAATGAAGCTGGAAATGATCCTGCCTAGCAAGCTGGCTGTAAAAGGAGGGGCCTGACAGTACCAAAAAAAAAACCAAGCCCACCACAGAGCTCTGCAATACAAGTGGGAAAATGGTGCTGGAGCACTGAACGCATCCAGTGCCACGAGCACAGAGGATGGTGCAGCAACAAGGTCTCTCTCTGTGTTCAGTTCTGCACCTGCACACATCGCTGCCTAAGCCTAACCTAAGGAACATGGTCTTGCACCACTCACACATGCTAACCAGGGAACACAGAGATGTACTTGCAATGGGCTCATGTCTGTTTAGCAACAGGGGCTGCACACTCCCCAAGACCAGCCCCAGCCTCTCCACCCTGCCATCCTTTTAGAGGACACCAGAAGACAGACAACAGGAGCTACTGCACAAAGCACCTCCTTCCCAGAAAAGGCTGAGGAGCACTGTTCTCCTCTGTGGAGTGAGAAGAGGAGCTGGAAGCACCCCCCAGTACATCCCCTATGGGAGACGGCACAGTAGCAAGCCCTGCTTCATCTTCCTCTTTGTAGCCAATTTATGCTGATAGGGAAATAAAAACGTTCCTTCATCAGAAGAATGTTCAATTATTTGAATAATCAGTGATCAAAAATTTACATGGACCTGTTAATAAAAAGTTTAAACAAATCCAGTTGCGATTGATTTCTCAATTATTAAAAAATATACATGAAATTAAAAAAGCCGACCACTGAATAAAAGCGATAAAATCCTTTGTGTTCACCCTCCTCCTTCTCCACTCCCTTTCCTCCTTCCAGTCTAATGTAAGAGCAGAAGTGACAATTTGTTTGGTGTCTTTAAAGAATAATTTGTCTATGTTATTTAATAGAGATCCATGGCACCAAGGTTCTGGAGTGCAAATGAGCCTGCTGAGTGATATCCACGCAACAAGCCTCTCAAATCACTTCTGGAGAGAAACAGAGAGAGGGAGAGAGAATAAAAAAAATATTGCTTTTTAATATTCAAAAACAGTTTGCAAAATTTAATCAAAGCAGAGCAAAAGCTAACATTTTTACCACTTTGACATTTTTATTAGCGCTTTCATAAATTTTTAAAACATGAATGGAATTAGTTTAACAACAACAACAAAAAAAAACCACAACTGCCTGAAAACATCTGGAAGAGACAAATAAGAAATAATAAAAAAATAAAGAAAAAAAATCCAACTCCTGTGAGTAAAATTAGCATGTGGAAAACGCAGCCGCTGCAGAGGAACTAACACAGTTTTTGGACCCTGGCTGCAACCTTCATGACCCACAGGCGGAAATTATCCTGAGGTCGTCCATATGAGCTGGTGACATCACCTTGCTGGCAGGCAGAGGGAGGGCAAGAAGCTGGGTGGGTAAATGGAAACAAGAAATAATTTCAATAGCTAGGAGAAACACCCAATTTCCACGGTGGACAGAGCCCATGGCCACAGCAGAGTAGCTCTCCCCCCTTGGAGTAGCAGGCACACAGCCCACATCAGGGCACGTGGGGAGCACGTGCTGCTGGGATGGAAAGTTAGCGGAAAAAAATTAAAATAAAATGAAGTGTTAACAGTGCTGAAGTGCCCAGGTGTAGACATGGAGCAGTCAAGCTGCAGAGGACACAGGGCTTAACTATTTCCCCACGGTCAGCTGTGCCAAGCTCTGCCATGCACGCAGAGGCTTGGATGCATCCTTCCCCACAGCCATACCACCCCACAAGGAGTAACCAAGTTTCCCCAGGAAAGACATGAAATTCAACCTGTGGGCTGGAAGAGGAAGAGGACACAGAGGCAAAAAATCTGAGCATCACCCAGATTGCCTGTTGTGATGCAGCAAAACTCACTGGCTTCAGGCCCCCAGGAGGACCCGTGGAAACATAAGAAACTCAATCTAAGTAAGAAACGCTGGACACAGCTGATCCTCCCTTCAAAAGAGCTACCACAGATAGGCTCTGAAAGCAGCAAATTTCTGTTCAGAAGAAAAAAGACTGCAAAGTTTGAAGCCAATGGACAGGATATCACAACAGAGCCAGGCTTAACTCCAGGATAACACCACCCCGTCCTTCAAACCAGGCTGGGGCAGCTCATTGCACCTGAGGTCTGCATCCCACGCAGGGGGTGACCATGGAAGCGGGTAAGCCCACAGCAGGGCAAGAAGAGCATCCCTGCTCCCAGCGAGGGACATGCACCGGCTGGATTTCACAGCAGGACTGCATTGCAATGCCAAGATCAGTCCTAAGGGACCAGAAACATCCTCAGGGGCCATCAAGTGGCTGGATGCAAAGTGAGACTGAAAGACAGCCCTGCTGCTGATCTGATACACAAAGGCGTCGCTTGCCTTCCAGAATCAAAGGCAAAAAGCACTTCCAGGAGGGTCGTATTAAGACAAACTGAGGAAATAAAAAAGCCATACTAAAAAAAAAAAATGTGGAAAATCTAACAATATCCAGAATTACTGCAAGGTCTGTGGGATGGAGCCAGGAGCAGGGATGGAACCCCAGGAGCAACTTGAGTGTCTTGGGTGAAAGCGCAGCCACTCTTTAGGGCTTATTTGGTCAGTTTTTGCGCAAGCGGTAAAGGACCTTTCCCAAAAGGCTGTTTATCTGCACACTTCCTATAGCGGAGATTTTTCCAGTCTCTGGCAGTGTTTGCTCCACTGGTATCTAAGGCAACAGATACCAGCCCCATGAAATCAGCCCCACTCCTCACTAACGACGTTAGCCAGTCCTGCAATGAAATTTAACCTGTGACACTGCTGTACTTTTCATTTAAACTTTCATTTGGAGAGAAGCAGTGTTTGGAGACCCTGCAGTTTGTCCTGCTAATAAAGACAAGTGTTGGGACCTTTAAAGGTGCCATTCATCTTTTGCCTTTATTAAATTCAATTTTCTTAAGCCCATGATACATCATGAAATTAAGAGTTGACATTCCTGCAGAAACAAAAATATCTATCAAACATAAACAGAAGGAAGGGGGGGTGAAAGAGGCCTCTATTACCAAGAATTTATGGCTTCAAGTTGATCTGTTTCCACTTTTTTTCTCTCTCCTGTTTTTTTTCTTTTACAAGCATATGGTTTGTTTTAGATATCCAAAATGTTATTACAGATCTAGAATTTCATTAGTAATTATTATGAAATGGTGAGCACTTAGACACACACACACACACAACCCCCCAACAGACTGGGATGCAGGAAGGCAGCCGGGCACTCTCTCACATTTCACAGCAGCCCTGCAAGCTCAACACACTCAGCTCCATCAAGAACCTTCACTGCTTCTTCCCGAGTGGGAAAGGTGGAAGAGAGAGGCACCAGGGAATTAAAAAGAGATGCTCACTGACACTTCCTCCCTTTGCATTAGTCTCATCATTCGTAAGTGCTACCTTGAGATCCTCACCCATTTCCACTTTCAACACTTGAGTACGCATTCCAGCTTCAGCATGAATTTGTGCCAGCAGCATTTGGGGCTTCTAAGTATTTGGGGTTTTTTTAATCCCCCACATACTTTCCTTCTAGCACAACCAGAAGTTATGGATGTGCCGAAATAATGCTGAGGGTGTCCAGAGGCTGCAAATAGCCACAAGCTACCAGAAGAACAAATGTACCCATTTGAATTTTGCAAGCACTGCAATTAGGTATTTTATTTAGCCCTGCAAAGTAACTTGAAAGGAAATCCAGGATTCAAACCACCAGCAATAAATAAGCAGCTTTTTATTTTCCTTTCATTGTCATGAAAAGTTGAACATGTTTTCTGTTGAGAAATTCTGCACGCGGCTCCCAATTACAGGCATTTGCATTTATATTGTTGGAACACAGAGCTTCTAAAATCAATATTAACACGCTTAAAGAAAAAGACATTGGCACCCTGTCCCTCCCCTCAGCTGCGCCCCCAAACATGGGAACAATAGGATCCTACAGAGCCGGAGGCTTAGACATATCCATTACCAGGTCCACTCTCTTTACAACAATCTTGCATTTATGATTTCATGGTACTTCAAGCAAATCTGTGTGACAGCTTGCTCGGAATTTCTGCCTTTTTAAATAAATAAATGAACGTTCCTCCCAAAAAAGATGTTCCAGGTGGAAGCCTCCTATGCAACCTGGCTGTCCCAGGCCAGTGGACAGGGTGGCAGCAGGAGGGTGCGGGGTCACTGTGGAATGGTGAGACGCTTCCTTTTAAGAAGGATTTGAAATATTCATAAGGGCATGTGAAAGCAGTGCTATAAACCCACCCTTTCGTTATCCATCCATCCTAAATGAAACTCCCCTCCCTTTAACATCAGAGCAGGGATGCACACATTCAGCTGTATTGATCTTCTTGCTAATAAAAGAAATGAACAAGCACACAACTATACTCGCTAAATAATTTCCTGTAACAGATCTCTGGAGTTCAGAGAAGAAATCACCTGAAGTTACACTAATTCCCACAGAGGAATCTTTTTGCTTATCCTTTTGGATCTGGAGCACACAACATCATTAGATGAAAAGAACACAGTGCCCAGTAAGAACTTCTCGGCTTTTAAAGCCTTTTAATCTAGAAGTCCACAAATGAAGTGGACAGGGCCCACTTCAGAACATCCAGTTACATATATTTGAGGAAGACCGTCTGGCCTATTCAGTTCAAAATCTACCAGAGAATAATTTATCCCTTACTCCCACCCCCATATGAAGAAGTTTAATAAACACAAGAATAAAAGATGCCCATAAAAATCAGAGCTGACTGTTCAAAACGCAATAAAAACAAGCAGAGGCCGTTGAGAGAAAGGGATTTTTTCTGGTAGGGAAAAGCATGAAACTTCCTACCAAAGAACCCCTTTACACCTTCAAAAAAGGTAAGGGTGGAAGAGGCAAGAAAGTCTCCATGGAGGGACATAGCCTTAGCTCGTTTTGTTCAGGGATGCTTCTTTCCCCCCTCCTCTTTAAAGCAAAAAAAAAAAAAAAAAAAGTCATTTTATGCACA